CCCCAAAACCCCAAAACCCCAAAACCCCAAAACCCCTTTTATTAAAAGCATCCTTGAAATTGTAAAGTTACTCCACTTCTTTGACTATCTTCTCAAAAAAATCTAATAAAGGAGAACTTTAGTATTCACAAAATCAGAATCTTTACTTGAATAATTCTTGTTCAAGCATCTCTATTTGAGTTTTTAACCTCTGCTTTTTGTCAGTCTTCTGCCAATCTTTTGTAAAGAGCTCCTTCGTTCTGAGATTCGACCTAGCTCTTCTGTTAGAAATATTGAACTCTTTGCCGACAATTTTATTCAATTTCATAAATTGGTTAAGTTGATGATCCCTCTCTGTGTTGTTATAATAAACTAAAGCTATCTTAAGCTGAGGCATACCTCTTTTGTCAAAGTTAAAATTCTGTTTAGGGGAGACTACCTTTTTGTATCGCTTCTTTTTCTTTTTCCTCGCATCAATAAACATTTTTGAAGTCTCATCATCAAATTTATTTCAACGATTCTAACTTATCAGAGATATTTTCTATTATTTTAGAGCCTAAAACTTACCGACAGAGGGGAAAAGTTGGCTATTGGTGAAGTTCAGGTCAGAAGCCGAGTTCTTCAAGGAACTTTCCCTATTAGTTGACCGGCTGAATAACTTAGTTAACCACTTACTTAGCAGACATATTATTCCCCTTACTATCATATAACACGTAATTGAACTTGTTTAATCTCTTTTTGGGTGCATGCGAGTTCACCAAACTGTAGTACTCTTTTGCAGAGTCGCTTGCTGGAGGTTTCAGTGCTATTTTTGATCAAAAAAATTCATACTATGATTTTTGTAGCTGTTCATAATTGTCTTGATTTTAGGCCGGATTTTGGGACTCCGATTTTTAATGTTCTAAAGGAAAGGATCGGGTTTTGAAGTGACCAAGGGGATTTTCAGCGGGTTTTGAATGTGTTAAGTGGGTTTTTATTAATTATCTTACTTTGATGTTAGCTTTGGAATTCATGATTATTTATTATATTTTAATAATGATGTGAAGATTGATGGGGTTTTGGGGTTTTGGGGTTTTGGGG